TGTCCCCGGGCGGGGCGGGCGCCGAGCCCCCCTTCCCCTCTGCCGTGGGAGCCCGCTCTGGTAGGGGAAGGGGCCGGGGAACCGCCTGCCTCCGCCGGTCCCCTCCAAATACCCGCTCCCCCGTCCCGCAGGGGAAAAAAAAACAAACAAAAAACACCTTTCAGCCACGCGTGCCGACAGGCCACCGCGTCCAGGTGCTCGTATTTTAGGAACTACCTCAGCACCTCCGTTATAAATCGCCTTTTTCCCAGCGGGAAGAAGGGCTGAAAGGCGCGGCACCCGGCGTCCCGTGGAAGTGAAGCGACGGGCGGGCTCGGAATCCACCTGGTTCTGGAGCGTCCGCGCTCAGAGCCTCTCCTGTGAGGGGTTTTCCCCAGGCTCCCTCAGCGCTGCCGGCCGCTTGCTGATGGCACCGAACACGGCCACTTTGAAATGCCTCGCGGGAGCGGGCAGGGGGTGGTTGCCCAGCCCCGTGAGAATTTCTGTCATGACGACGAAAAGCGGTGGGATGCAAGAGGAGAATTTTGAACGCTGCCCGTGAAGAGCTGCTGATGTCGGGGAAGCCTGCCGGGTGGCGGGGCGGTCGGACGCGATAACGTGAGGGTGCGGGGAAAAGTTGTGGGTGAGCTCCGACGCTCTCCATCGCTCACATAAATACCACTGTTCACCCAAGTAGATCTCGCTCAGCCAAAAAAAAAAAAAAAAATCAGTCTTTCCTTAATCCACTCGGTCATTCAGGCTGTAGCAGGTTCCAAGAGGAAAGGGCAGAACAGATTTGCTAGCTTGTGGGTCCAAGCTGGGAGACCGGCACCCACGTCTCTCCTGAACGAGGTTCAAAGCGCAAAACCGGGGCGTTCTGTGTTCCCCACAATCTAGACGTTAGGGGACAGTTAAAAAAAATAAATCTACCCCAGACCTGGGAAACCTCTTCCATTAAAGTTTTAGGGAAAATGTCAGCTTTGATGAATTGGGATTTTCTCTTCAAAAATCTCGAACAACTACCAAATTTCTGTCAGCTGCAGGAGATGGCGACTTGCAGAAAATCATCAGAAGTAAAAAAAAATAATATCTTTTTTCCTACCTTTTATTACTTGTGCCTTACAAGAAAGAAGAAAAATAGCAAAAATCTCAACATTTGAGACATAAAGTAGACCAGGATATAAAAATATACTGCACAAGGCAATCTTACATTGGCATAAGAAGTGCTAAACTCATTTAGTTTGCCACCAGTGCATTTTTAGATATGTCTACATTGCATGGCAGTGATGTCCTTCATTTCAAGATACGTTCACGCTTGCCAGTGGTCCATCAAGCTGCACAGAGTAGCACAAATTAATACTAGCATCTAATGTGGTTTAACAGGCTCACGCTGGATGAAGTTCATGCCACTGTTGTTTCTAATAGTGTGTGGCCCTGGTTCTCTAAAATAATCTGGATGTGGGTAGGACCGGTGTGAAATCAAAAGAAAGGCGAACACCTCGGGAAGAGCTGTCAAGGTGTTGTTAGCATATTGTAGAAACAATGAGTGGGCGCCAAACCCAGAAATTCTTATTATGAAACTAGCGAATTCCCGCTGCTCTGCTGTGGAGAGACACTGGACTCACGTGCAGTCCCGCGGCCTCTCAGCATCACAGAAGGTCAGTCCACGGTGTGTCTCCAGTGATCTTTAGAGGGAACTCTCAGCCTCTACTATTCATCAAGAATTAGAAAAAAATCATTGTATAGGAAACTTGGTGTTTAATCTGTTTTGAATATCTGGCTAGGCTTGCATGCATGTCATTTTGAAAGCAGATAATTGATTTTTCAGTTTATGTGGAGGATTTCACATAAACATTCCCATAAATATAAGGCTTTAGGTACGGAATAAGCTCCTTTAATTACAATCCCTCTTCTGTCTTTCCCCCAGCAAGTTGCTAAAAGCTAGTTTGGACAAAATGCTATAAAAAGTGCTCATACAGAACAGTCCTGTACAGGCACCTCCAGAGTAGCCCAGAACGTACGGGAACAAACTCTTCCATCCTTTGTCACTGGTAAACTGCCATCTAAACCAATTTACTCACAAAATTAAATGCATGTGCTTTCTTTTAGGACTGGAACCAAAATGCTGGGCCTGGCTGTGAAAGTAACCGTGGCACGAGCTGGTTCTCAGCTTGCTAATCTTTGAATCGTCATATTCAGGTAAGAGGCATTAATGTGTTTTTAGACATAGTGTGTCATTAAGAGATTTGTCCAAGGCTAGAGAGAGGCAAGACTGAGACAACAATTCAGTACACCTTGATTCCCAGCTTGGGTCTCTGTTTTGGGTAAATATTTATTCTCCATCAACTGCAGTGGCCATGGAGGACGCTGAGCCCCCCCCAAAAGGAGGTATCAGTAGTCTGCGCTACCAGGACTGGACGGACCTTGCTGTCTCTCTGATTCTTCGTCTACACACATGCATTCATTTAGTTAGTGCAATGGTGCTTAAAAGCAGGTCACTTCCATTTGCTTTTAAGTGTGATTTCAAAGTGAAATAAATTGACTCTAGCCACTGTTGAGCTGATTTAAGATGTAACCAAACCTCTTTAAATATTTAGAAATAGGTTTAGTTAAATTGATACATTTCTGTATGTAAAATTTTAGGTGGTCAGCTAATAGATCTTTTCCATCTCTGACTTTTATTATTCTAGTTAGTTATATTTAAGCACTGGCATACGAGAGGATCTGGAATAGATTTTATGCTGCGTTTAAGATTAATTTATTCCATCTGTCCCAGGGAGGGAAAAAGGAAACATTCGAAGGAAATATATAATTAAGATAGTAAGTAAAGCTACCACAAACTCTAGGCTCTCTTATTTATATATTTGCCTCATTTAACTCTGTTTTATTCTGGTCTTTCACATAATTATGGTGAACAGGAGACTTCTCTGCATTAAATTCCAAGCATTTCAGAGATTTTAATGAATGAGGTGTTAAGTCCCAGCCTTTACTTAGATTTTCTCTGTTACCTGTGCTTCACATTAGCTCCTCTGTAGGGTTTGTTGAAAAGAGAAGTTAAGTTTTAATTACTTTCTTATACTTACGAGGCTGTAATATCAGTTTAAAGATAACGGCGAAAATATTCCTAGGTTACATTTCCTCAGATTTCAAGCCTTTCATTAAATAGCATTTCATAGCAGTGGTCACAAAAACTCAGACACAAAAAGTATCAGGAGACATCTTCAAAGATGCCAAAGAAGTAAAGCACTTTGTTGTCAAAACCAAACACTGAGGACATGAAATTAATGCTAGTTCTGCAGAAAGTTCTCTTGCTTCTAGTTGTCTAGGGCCAGATCTAAAATAGGACTTAAGGTACTTAAAAGAGGATGTAAAGTGATGACTGTATTCATATCTGTTACCATGACAAGTCCTACACAGTGGCTAATTAGGAGGTGTCTGCCTTCCAAAGGAACCTTTCAATGTGCCTGGTGCTGTACGTCCAGGTTGTACAAGGTTAACCATTTTAGCTCCTATCAGTAAAGTTAAGCATCACCTAACTGCAGCCTCCAGCTGCTATAACCTCTGTCCTCGCAGAAGCAAACGGAGGCAGCAGGACCTCCTTCTCATCCCTCACATAATGGTCTCAGTAACCGAAAACACGGTGCAGGAGAGCGATAGCTGCAGCCTCAAGCTGAAGAAGGGTGGAGTGGCAAGCCGAAAGATGAACCACATCAGATCATCCATGTGCTAAAACAGAGAGGAAGGAAGCAAAAGCATCAACTTCCTGAGGAATCCATACCTGGATTCAAATTTCAGTCTCTTTTCTGCTCCCCAAGTTCTGCCTGCTGGGATATCATCTTTCCAACGCCAGCCATGAGGATGGAGTGTAAGCAGAAGAGTGTGAGTCTGGCTCTCCAGCCCAAAGAGAAGTGAGCGTAAAGAAGTGGCTGTTTTCTTCATTGTCCCCTGTGACTGTCCTACCTTTCTGGTATGACGAGATATTTCTAGCTTCTCCCCTCTATTTCTTTCTATACAGTGGCAAAGCTTCACTGTAGGGTGGGGAGAGAGGAGAAGAATGTGTCCCTTTTCGTGTGACTGAAATTCTGGTGATAAGGGCTCTCTGCTGGGGAAAAAAGCACTCGATTCTGTTCTTTTCATGCAGCATTTTGGATCTCTCCCTTTTTCTGTGCAATTCCAAAAGAAAAGGAGACAGAGGCCACTGAACTTCCTTCTGGCATTATGCTATGAATTAGGGAATCTTCCTAGTTTTCAAGGGGCAGACCAAGAACCTAGCTTAACAGAGGATTCAGCACTGTAGACGGAGAAATGACAAAGATGCTAAAGGATGGAATTTTTCATTCCTAGCTAAAACTTCAAAATGAACTCTAACCGTGCTGTCTCCATCTTCTGCTACCTGACTCTGGAGGCAGAATCTTGCCCCTAATAAGAGGTTCTGGCTTCCATTCCTGGCACTTTCCATCCCACTGTAGGTGTTGCAGTGATGAACTTCTCAGTTTACAGGATCTGGCATTTATAGAAAAGGTTTTTTCCTTTAGTGGTCCTGGTGGAAATTAGCACTCTGCAGGTCAAGACCTTGTTAACATTCACTACTGGACTTAAGATGCTCGGTTGTGGATTAAAAAAAAATGGAGACAATTGCAGTTTTGGAAGGAGGAGGAGAGTTACGGCTTGGCACGTGGTTCAGTCTTCATGCTAGGTCAGCCCTAAAAGGCTGACTTTCAGACTGGTAAATATTGCCAAAATATTTGTGGCAGTTTCTCACATAGACTGTTGGGTTGTTGGGTTTTTTTATGGGTTATGATGAGGTCAGTTTCATTTGTGGTAGGTCTCAAGCCAGACACCCAACCTCCTAAA